GGGGGGGGGGGGTCTTGGGATGTGTGTTTGTTTGTGGGGTCTGGTGACCCAGGTCACCCTGCAGGATCGTCCTATCCCCGATGTAGGGATGGATTAATACAGCTGATCTAGGCACTTAGAGAGGAGATCGGAGAGATCGGAGATGTGTTTCTCTGGCATGGCTCGGCATCTGCAGCTTCATCACAGTTTTATCTACAGTAGCAGTCATTGAGGATTAGTGATCGTGCTGCTGGAGGAGGATATAAGGTTAGAGTGATGCTATCACTAACTAGAGGATCCTCCAGTGCTTCTCGCGTTCCCATGCCTTGGACATCAACCTTGAACTGTGATACCTATTATTGAAATACTGTTATGTATCATGCAATATATCAAATTACAATTAAATATAGTATTCCTTTTTATGCTTCCTCAAAGTAATATGACCTCATATAATAATTTTGAGAATCATTTTATGAGGCTAAAGTGTTTATGCCATAGTGTACAGTAAATAAGACATTCAGTTTCTCTTTCTCTGATCTATAAATGTTTCAAATTTCGTAGATTTGGTTGATCACCATGTATCCCTTTCCTTTTGTCTCTCTCTCTGTCAGGCATCTAATTCCATCGACGTTGGGGGACGTCCTGGAGGAGTACCTCACACACTCCTACAGAAGGATCCACGGGTAAGCATCAGGCCGATAGCATCCCGAACCACTCTGCTCTTACTCTGTGTCTTTTAGTGAAAGCCAGACGTGACTATTTATCATTGTTATTGATGATAATGATTGTCCGTTTGTCCATACAGATAACAGATCCATACAGGACATCTGTTAGGGTAAGTGGTTGCCCTGTCCATGTTTTGTAAAATGTTTCATCTCTCTGGCCAGGCCACAAAGTCTAAAACTGCAAATTTTTCATCAACTCCTGATCAACAAAAATTCAGGGTATTGGCTGCATTTAAGGATAGCTTTGAGGTCTCTATTGAGCTAAAGTCAGGGTTTGATTTTCTTAATCCGTGTCCTGGTTGAAAATTCTGAGGAGTTCCCACTTTGTAGTTTGGCCAGAAAATATCAATGCCAGAATCCATTTTTAGCTTCCTATAGCAAAGCCAGCAGGCTAACCTCAGTTTCTCTCAAAATTTTTAGAAACCTGGCAAGTGGTGTGCAGTGCATGTCCAGATCGCATGGCAGATCTACCACCACCAGCAGAAAATGAAGGTGCGTGAGATGGATAATGATGTCTTTCAGGAATCTTGCTGTCATGTAAAACCAGATACAGTATATTGCTAATGAGTAGGGCTGATCATGTCATCTGTAAAATAATCTATAATCGTGTTACTAGATTAAGAACAACCATCTGGGTGGGAAAAGGCAGATTACAAAAAAGGAACATAATGCTGTAAAAGCTAATAACAATACAAAATTCAACAGAAATGGTGTCTTGTTAAGTGTTCTCCAAGACTTCATCACATTCTTAGAGTTACAGTTAAAAGGTGACACTTTCAAAGCAGACGTAAAGGCTCTGTGCATGGCTCACTCCACCTTAAGAGAAAGATCATGAACCGCCACATTTAAAGCACTCAGTGACAGAATTAGTAGTTGAAGTAGTTGTTGTGTTGTAGATTTGAACACAAAAAAATGCTTGTGTGGAAATACTCCTCTCACTGACAGAGGATGGTGTGGCCTTGCCATGGAGATCCTCTGCTAATGCCTCATGCCCAGTGATGTCAGCCCTTCTCCGGCTTTGAACCCCCGTTACTAAGGATTTAGTGTCCCTAATCAGCTTACATATATTTGTTATAACACAGTTGGCCAGAATTGGAGACATTGTTGATGTTACTGTCTTCCTCTGATCTCTCACCCAGTGTAGCCGAGGATAAATCCCTCTCACTCCGTAGTTGGAAATGTTTGGTACTGTAGTCTACCGACCTAATTATTTGTTTGTCTGTCTCCCTCTCCTTTTCTCTGCCTCTCTCTCGATTATAGCAAATGCAGTTAGATCCTCACAAACTAGATATGAACGGGAAGCTGGACCTGTTCAGTCGACCACAAGCTCCAGGAGTCTTCCCAGGGTTTCCGTACACTCATGACCTGGCACGACCCCTCTTCTCTTCCACAGGTCAGTAAGGTCTCCCAGTACCCAATGCAGGGGGGATGATCTGCATCTTAGAAGACCAATTATTCGAAACACTGAAATTATCCGATTTTCAAAGCCTTCCAGTGCCATTTTTGTCTTTATGCAAATGACCGTTTATAGCCGTATGTCAAAATTGTTCCTTCACCACTGTAATGAAAAGGCATCGTTTATTTTCGCTCATCTCGTGTAATGTTCACTTAATTATAGGGCCTTTGTTGCAAATGTTTTGCCAGTAAAGGGAGTCAGATATTGCCATGAATATGGATGACTCTCAGTTAGGTAATTGACTGATTTTCCCTGCGTTGGAGGGCAACAGAGAGGCGAACGGCCTTTGACTGGTAATTATGCAGTGGTGTGTCAGAGGCACTGCTGTAATTGGTTCTTTCATTAACAATTCATGGATTATGGGTGATGGTAACCATGTTTTGTGAAAGAGGCCAGCTTGTTGCACAGTCAGAAACTGACCTCAATAAGCAACTATAGACTCACCCATTGACACGCAACAGCTGCAATAAAAGCAAAATGTCAATGGCTAATTTGCTCAATGGCATTACTCAGCCACCTCCAAATTCCTCTAGCTTACATGTATATTCAACAAGTTTGTGATGCTGTTTTTAATGTTAACTCTCATTGACATTTTCAGTCCTGGTTAAATAGGGGTCAGAATTGTGATTGTTTTTTGATGGGTAATAATTTTGGTTATTCTCTCTATGGTTAATTTGAATGTATAACTGTCTGATTTGTCCGATTGGATAATAATGACACTGTTCTATCCTCTCTGCTCTGATAGGCTCTGGTCACCCCGCTCCTTCTCCGTATGGCCACGTCCCCCACCCTAGCGGCTTCCTGCCTCCTAGCCATTTGGCAGGTAAGTGTAAGTAACCCCATGTTCAAATCTTTTATACACTTAGCTCCTCTTTCTCTCCGTCTCTCCCTCCCTCACTCTCTCTCTCTCTTTCCACTCATGTTTTAAACACATTACAAGCCACCAGGGTGTAATTTGAAGCCTAGATATTTGTTGATCTCAGGTTCATTTTAGGGTTAATATTTAGTCAGTCAGTTGCGGCAGTTCTTGAGCCAACTCGAGGTTCATGGTAATGGTGAGGTAAGCCATCATATAATCAGACATCATGATTCATAACAGTCTGAAATAACTCTGTCTGGGTTCATTAAGAAGACTTAGCTAGCCTAGTATTCAGTCTCACTGGTATATGCAGTGCAACAGCATATATGCTATTTTCTATATGTTTGATAAGTAATTCAAGTAAGGGAAGGTGGTTAATGATGTTGGATTTATTTGTGCATTTCATTATTTTGTATTCATTCATTTATTTTCCTCCATTCTATCTGAAACACTGTTTTGGTTCAGAGTGGCAAGTGGATTTCATGGAATAAGCCCTCGAGTCGATCCATTTTGTGCTTATGAATACATGGTGCACTGAGGAGATTTAGCGAACAACGTTTTCGTGACCAAGGAATTCATGTGTGAGGCCGAGCAGATTTCTTCATTGTTGTCTTTTCTAATATATTAACAAGCCCCAGAGCTGAAAATCCTTAAACCCTAATCTGTTGATAAGTCCTGCATTTCCTGATGGATTTTTGGGGAATTAAAATGGGACTGCAAATTATCAGTTGATGAATGTTGTTCACTGACTTCTCAGGGTAAATGTTTGTCTTATTCCTATAAATTTGGAGGCTTTAGTCTGCGTCAGCGGAGCCCATCACACACACCAATTCTCCATTTAAATCATTGTGGTCTGTCTAGCCTAATTCTTACAGCTTCTAATTCCCCTGTCCTAGCACTATTTTCAGCTCAGCTCCAACAACTCAAAATGAATTTCCCCACCAAGCAATGTTCTTCCAATAGCCCTCGCAGGGTCAGGGACACTCCAGTTAGTGGCAGTGAATCCAGCATCCAGGTGACCTGGCTATACTGCAGGATTACCAGGCAGAGAGCTAGGGTGGCAGCGCTAAAAAAACAGAGCTCGCTTGTAAGAGAAAAGCCGAGTGGAACGGGTTGGTGTTGGGGTGAGCACCGCCAGCCAACCCCCCCTTTTGCTAATCCCTGTTTGGCATTTTACAGATCCTTTCAGTCGCTCCAGTTCCTATGGCGGCCTCGGCAACCTTTCAAGCAGTGCCTTCGGAGGATTAGGCAACCCTTCGCTTGGTAAGCGCTGGCCCCCTCTCCTCCTCCACCGCTCCCCCTTTCAATCTGGCCCCCGTGGCCAGTAACAGAACAGAGCAGGACAGCGTTAGACCACAGGAAGAGCCAGGAGGGGAGGAAAAAAAAATCAAGACACTTAGCTCTAGTTTCTGTGTCAAAACAGCTCTAGCCCAGGGAGGCCCAACAAGGCAGCACAACACACCACAGCAAACCTCCTCCATGCCTCCACTTCATCCACCAACCATGTCCCCAACAGTCTGGCTTTAATCTGGCTGTGCTGCTGCCAACAGGCACTCTCAGGTCCGCTGTTTGGTGGCAATTCATCTATTAATTATTTGACAAGCCCCCTGTGCACCACCGTGGAGGGCTTTCTCTTTTCCCCCCTTGCATCATTCTCTTTATGCCTTTCTCTCTTTCTCTTTATCTCTCCTATTTTTGTGTGCCGAATTGGTCACCCTGTTGTGAAAATGGATGTGATTGGAATAGACATGCTATGGAATGCTAAGGTCTCCCTTGGCTTTTCACAGCCCTCAGCTCCAGAGGGCAAGTGAGTCTCCCCTGTTCATCCAGTGCAACAAAAGGAGGGGGTGAGAAGCCCTTTTAGCCCAAAAGCAAATGAGTAGATTTTTTTTTTCTTTGGTGGGGGGGAGCCATTAACCTCTACCTCTTTCAAACAGCTTAAGTGAGAGAACCTCCAGAGACAAAGACAAAAGCAGCTTTTGTTGTCGAGTCTTTCTCATCTTATGTGTCCTCAAGAAGGTTTTGTGCCCAATTAACTTACAGTGGGTCCCACGTCTGTCTCCCTCTTCTCTCCAGGGCCCAACAGCATGTTTGGCACCAAGGAGGGGCCAGGAGGACTGCCCACGTTTGGCAGCCCCCACCACGACACCTGGAACAGACTTCGACGCACCCCGCCATCTTTCCCCACCCCTCCGCAGTGGCCCAAAACCGCAGACACTGAGCGAAGCAGCTCAGCCAACAGCCATGAGAGAGAACGAGAAAGAGAAAGGGAGAGAGAAAAGGAGAAAAGAGACTCGTCCATTGGGAAGGACGAGAAGGATAAAGACAGGTGAGTTTGAGGCAGATGCTAATTTTGCTTTTTTATGTGCTTTTTAGGTATTAATTGGAGGATATTTGATATAACTCTGTGAAAAATTATATTTCTGCTGTAATTTGATTACTATCCATTTTAACTGTCATCACAATTTAACATTTGACCTTGGACCTTCACTGTATTGTTTCAATGCGGTATGTGATAACCACAGGAATGGAGCACATTTTCTTATCTTACACAAAACAAGTGTGAAGGACAGAAATTGTAAATGTTTTTATACACATAACAAAACTATCCTCATAATCATGATCACAACTCTAAAGACGTGGCCTCAAAAATGATCCCTTTTCCAGCTAGTATTAGCATATATATGAGATGATTAAATTATGTTTGGACAAAATGAAAATCACCCAAATCAGCTCTGGAGATAGAAAGATGTACTGTCAAAGACAAAAGAAAAAGTGTGACAGTTCTCCAGTCCATTAGTTGTACCCGTGAAAACTGAAATAAATTGAATTTGTGGGTCCAACAAGGGCATAGACACAACTCAAACAGGCAACAAGCAGCTCTGAGAAAAGTTATCTGTCAAAAAATAATTGGAAGGATCTCTGTGGATGATATTAAAGCAAAACGTAGAGTTTACTCAAAGTTAAAGACAGTAGACATTATCAGAGGAGGACACAAGCATGGTAACCTGTATTGATGGAAAATAAATTATGAATTGAGTCACATATTGTAGAAATGTAAATCATCCCTAAATACAACCCAGCTACATGATGCTTGTTTTAACTGGCACTAACTAAACAGTTTTATTATGTCATTGCAGGGATTCCGTGGATCGCAATCGTCACTCCAACCGTTCATCTCCGGCCTCTGCGCCAGTCAGCTACCAGATCAGCAGCCTGATACGCTCAAACAGCCAGAACTCCTGTGATTCGGGTCGACATCACAGTGGAAGTGTAGATCGGGTCCGTGAGGCGGAGAAGGAGCTGCTGGAGCGCCACAGGGAGTCTTCTGCGCTGGGTGATGTGAAGGTGAAGGAGAGCCGCTCGCCTGGCAAGGAGATTCTAGAGAGGAGATCCTCAGAAGACTCCATCAAACCCGCTCAACGTTCTCCTTCCCCATACTCCAAGGCAGTGATCAATGAGCAGGGCATGAAAATGGCAGGTGGGCCCCCACCTACACTCAAGGACAGCGAGAGGAAAGAGCCCTCACCCGCAGAGCTCCTCCACAAGGTGAAAAATGACATGAAGATTAAGGAGGAGAGGAAGGAGGAGCAGGAGGTCATGGTGGTGAGTTCGGAGCCTGCCCCCCAACCACCAGCCCAAGCTCTCCCTGCTCAAATCAGCCAGCCTGTAAACCCGCACCACCACCATCCACCTTTGTCCCACCAGCATCTTCCCTCACCACGCGGCAGTGACATTCCAGCACCTGGCATGCATGGTGTCCCCATGGCACACTCTCTGCCCCTTTCAATGAGTGCCATGCCCCAGATGGGAAGCCTCAATGTGCTGGACCGGGCGCGCATGGCTCCCTTCATGGGAGTGAGCCCACTGGCAGGAAGAGAGCGCCTGCCCCACCCGGCCTTCCCTTGGGACCCACTTAGAGAGGCCTACCGCAGCCTCGACCTGCAGCGGCGCATGGACTTCCAGCTCAGGGCCGAGCAAGGACATCGATTCTCCAGTGTGTACGAACAGGAGCGAGCCTACCGCGAAAGGGAGGCTCACGACTACTCCCACCACGAGCACCTGTTAGAGGTGCGCAGGGAACACGAGAGGATGAGACAGCATGCGGAGGAGCGAGAGCGCCTCCACCTGAGGGAGGAGCTGGACAGAGCACGCCTCCATCAGCTGCATCAGTCCCCCATGGAGGGCCATCTACCCCACATGGCCCCCTTTATGCCCCACCTAGGCGGCATGCCCTACCCTAGACTCAGCCCATCCACAGGACACAACGGCCCTCTGAACAGAACACCTCCGACTGCTGCACTCAGTGCGCCCCCGCCCCTTGTACCAGCCGGCAGTGCCAGGCCAACCTCACCCAGGAGGACTACCCCCCTCACCACCCAGGACCCACGGGACTACTCCCCATCTCGCAACCCCAAAGAGGTAGAGGCTCGGTAGCTTCTTAGAAACGTGCACAAAGTCTTACTAGACGCACTCCACACGAGCCCCACTCTCCTAATCTGAAATGTTTTGTGAACAAAATGCACTGCTCTTAACCAGATAGGAGCAAAACTTCCTAAGGGAAAGAGTATGATTGTACAAAGTAAAGGTGTGTAAGGCTGATTAAGCACATGCCATGACTTTATTTTTAGTGGACTGGAGGTTGAATAATGTCGGTCAAGAGAACATAAATATGTGTATGTTTATATCCGACTTAAATATTTGATAATTATTAATATATTAATCAAATACCTTTTTTTCAGCTCCATGCAAAAGGAAAGGTCCTGAAATGAGTTTGTACATTTCTTATCCTTGTTCCATGTATAGATATAATTTCTATGAATTTTGTGCATTAGTCATGCCTTTTACAATATTTATCCCAGTTGATTGTGAGACATATCCATTATGACCCACTGTAAAGACTGGATTTTGTTTCAAACTTCAGTAATTTAACCTCATGGTACCAGGATATCCTCAATGATGACAATGTACAATGTTACATTACCGATTTGTTTTGTTCATTTGTTTTTGCCTTTGAGATATGCAGATAAATATATATTATGAGGTCTTTGTTCAGTCTCTGTAAAGAAAACTCATGTACATAACTTGTTGATATTCCTTTGCTGCGAAATTACAGTGTAAATTTATTAGTCTTTTTAACCATTTCTAGAAAAATGAAATGAAATGAAACTTGGGGAATCACTTTCCTGTTGAATATCGTGGCAACAGACATGCCTGGCCAATGGATGAGAAGTATGATGAGAGGGTGTTGTAGGGGGGCCGAGAAGGATCATCTGCAATCTATGCAAAGCAGCACACAGCACCCTAACGAAGAAATCACCCGGAGGGAGCAGACAATACTGGTGATACGGAAAGATACTTGGATTAACACTTGTTTATAAATAATGATGGAATTATTAAAAGACTTCCAAGTCAAAAACTGGACCAGCCCCAGACAGAAAAGGAGGACACTTTTTAGTGGGCGGCAAAAGGACTTTCTCTGTCAACCTTGTGGTGTTGTGCAGTTGTTTTTCTTAGACTCTTGTATACAAAACAAGTAGAGTTTTAGGCGTGCAAAAAAATGAAAATGAACATTCTTGGTTTAAAATGTACGGAATAAAGTTTGGACCTAATGTCATACATGTGTTGCTTGTCTTTCCTCATGGCACTCGTCGTCAGTGCTGACTACAAGTACTGAACCGGTCTGTAAGCCAAACTTACTGAGTTGAGTGTTGATGTTAGGTTGATAGTTTTGCCAATAATGCTCGTGCCTCAGATTTCAGCATTTAGAGTATTTGCTCATATATATCAAGCTATCAATTTGTAATCGTACGGGCAACAGACTTGGCCGGCAGAGTAGCCTATGCCATGAGATCATTTGACCATAATCTGTCATACATGGGCTGCAGAGCTCCTCAGAGGGGATCGATGAGATTGGGCCAAGGCAATACAGGGAGGGACTAATAGGACATTGATTTTGTATAAAAGCAGGTTTTGAGTGTTTGTGTTGCAGGTAACCGGTATTGACTGGCAGCCCAGCCGCATATTGACGCGCGGTCTGGACTCATTAAGAGGAGCAATGCCTGGGAGGCAGGCTATCGGATGGTGGAGGACAGGCTCCTCTCTCTCTCCTCATACGCCCCCCCCCCCCCTCTCCTCATGCACACCACTCATCTGCTTTTCTAATAAGGCCGGAAGGCGCTCTGGAGTGGGCCGTGCAGGGAGCCGCGAGGCGCCCCGTCCTGTTATTGACAAGACCTCGGCTGTGCTTGCCGCCTGTCCAGAGACGGCCAATTCATCCTGATAATGCCTCGACTACTCATCTCGCTGCTGTGTGCTGTGAGACACACCAATCTTGTCCCATGGTAGCAGCCCATAATGACAGCGTGGATCAAACCGTGGCCAGGTCATTAGGGGATGTTATTGAAAATCAATGGCGCTCCTGTGTCTCGCACACTCCGGCAGTTTTTTTTTTTTGTTTTTTTTTTTTGAAAGGGCTCCTTGAAAAGACTGTTTGCCAGAATGAGGCTGGCGTATTGGGAAGACTTAAATCACTATCACTTTCAATTTAGGCTCCAGGTAATTGAGCCACATATTCCTCTGACGGGTAGCATCTGTCAGTGGCCAGCTTCACTTTAGCACTATGTGCTTTTAGTCCTAATCATCTGGTCAACAACGGGTACTTAACCCCTGTACTTGTTACAGCATAGTGATTTTTCCTGTAACTATTATTTACCAAGCAAGCTTTGGAAGAAGAAAAACACACACCTTACATTTTCCCCCGACTCAATCACTCTGTCCATCTCCATCCATTTTAACGGCTGAGTGTGGAACGGCCCTCCGGAGATGAAAAGCTCCATCAATTTCACTCATCGTCTGGCAAGGTCAATTTATTTCAACACACAGTCCATCATCAGATGGGAATCAATTGACACATTGCCTAGCATATCCAACCCAAGGTAGGTTATTACAGCTTCTGCAATTGTCAGCTCTTTTCCAAAGCTATTCTTCACATGTCCAGGCTATTTTCTTTTTTGTTTATGATTTTCTATTTTTACTTGTTCATAATTTGGAACACATTTCCTGTTAAATGGAGCATTGTTACTGTGGCAGGGCTTTGCGTAACAGCAAGTCAAAAAAGCGACTGATACAAGATTGAGGTTTTTTTTACACATTTCTCCACTATAATCCCAATTAATAGGATACGGTGGTATCTGAGGTAAGACATTGTTTTATTGTTCCACTAATCCTCTTCATTTATCTGTGAAAAACCTCAATGCTGAGGGTTTAGGATTGAATTTTCATGGTCTCAAATGCCTCCAAAAAGTGCTTGGCACAGAGCTCACCCCAGATTCTACGAACAGTGGAACAGGCCTAAGGGGCTTTTATAGTGCACAATGGCAGCTAATAACACAGTGCCAAGCTAATAAGATGGGCAACAAATGAATGGTTCAGCCCAAGCTCCTTTTCTCTCTTGCTCACTCTTCCCCCACTGATAAAACATCTATGAAAGCGTTTTTGAGCCGCTATGTAGTGGCTCCCTAGACTTCTCCCCCAGCGAGAGCTAATGCATTAGTTCCCATTTGAAGGCTGTTTTGAAATGGAGATTGGTAATGAGACGGGAGGCCCCTGCCACGATCACATTTGGATTGCTTGGGCCTCCGCTGGGCCTGGTGATTTGGGAGACGGTGGCTCTGCTCAGAGTTCAAGCTCATCTCTCTGCAGGGGTTAGAAAACCCTGACGAGAGCTATTCTAAACCACTAAGCTAAATCTGAACTGTGAACTGAGGGGGAGAGCACCTAGTCAAGGGCTCTGGCTGTGGATCCCTGTCGCAGCGCTCTTTGTAGGCTGCATGTTGTTTTGACCACCTAAAAAGGCTAGTAGCATACATCATTCCATGTGGCCATCTTTTTTTAGCCCTCAATGTCAACAGAGCGGCAGCTGACAGAAACCAGGCCAGTCAGCGGTTAAGGAGCTGACTTGGAAACAGCCAAATGGTGTGAATTCCAGACCCTGGTGACAAAGTGCTGTCTAATGTCTTTGCACCTCTGGTCCTATGACAAATATTCCGGCTGTCTCACACCACTACCACCAATATGGCTGTACAAGGAGAGCAGCCAATGCAGTCTTGGAGGAAGCATATACTGTAAATCACACATAGGAACCTCAGAGAGCACGTGAAGCAGGGAGGAGTGGAAGAGAATTAAGGGAGATGGAAAAGAATGAGGTCCAGAACAGTCACCACCAGCCAAAATAAGTTTTCCACTTTGATTCAATTTTGAGGATTTTTCCAGCCTTTAGTGGAACCTCACAATCTCCCACACTGGCCGTATTATGTACACAAACCATAAAAAATGAATAACATTTATGCAGCTGGGTGCATCTGGCAGAGATAGACCTCTCATTCAGGGACCCACAGGATGGCACCGTGCCGCCACACAACCCTCTCTGTTCTATGTATGGGCACTAGACAAGAGAAGACTTAAGGGATGGTTGGGTGGTGTAAAGGGAGGCTCTGAAATGCTTCAAATGAGTTTAAAAAAATAAGAGATTTCGAAGCAAATGGAGGCCATACGTGGCTCGTCCAATTTGGCACAGCCTACGCACATGATTAGCCGTAGAGACGTTAATCAAAAGTGGCTCAGTATTTGAAGGGGCGGTGAGAGGCACTGCCAGCTGGTGACAACATGGCTTGTGTGCTCGGGCCAAGAGTGAAGTTTATTTGAATATGGATCTTGCCGTGACCGTATTTCTCCAGAGCTCAGTTAGCAGAGCGTTCCTTGGCTCATCACTGGGATCGCCTCAGAGCCGCTTGGCATCCGGGAAGGCGGAAGTTTTTCCAAGCCGCAGAATGAGAATTACGATTTAGTCCATCCCCTCTGGTGGTGTGGGCATATTCAGAAGCATTTATTCAGTTTGACGCTGGCAGAGACGCAACACCTAGTTATTGGCATCCATGTGTGAGGATTTCCTTTCCAATAGGAAATTATGAAATTGACAAAAAGGTTGTTTTTACAGAATATAAATCAATAACATATTTAAAAATAAAACGTCCTATCTTTCCACATAAAACCATGCTAAACCTCTACTGAAAACACAAAGCTTCAATATTAAACTGTCAGTGTTGCCTTATAGCCGGGCTCAAGATGGAATAAGACCACCAGTAGTTGGAATAAGACCACCAGTAGGCCTACTCTAAATCGGCAACAGCACAGCATCTGTATTCAGCTTTGATGAGGAATGGGGTGATTTCTGTTTGGTTTGAGTTGATGAATTACAGACTTATTGAACTGTGTTTTTAGCTTGTTGATAGGGTAAGGCTAGGGTTTGGTTGGCAGTAGTTAACAGATACAGTTGCTTTTAATATTAGAACTCTTTGTTCAAAATGTACTGGATACGCCCTTATATCTTCAGATGCTAACAGTCCCTGCAGTCGGATCGCATTCCACCACAAGTCAAAAACAGGAACAGCTCTCGAACAGGAGAAGCATGCTTGTGACCGTGATTCAATCTCTGGATCACCAGTTAAAATCTGAGAGTGGAAAGTGAAGGAATAATACGAACAAAAAGTTACTACTCACACAAATGTTTAAAAGCAAGGTGTATCTCAATAAATGTCTTGACTTATATCAAAAGATTTTACAACTAACTCTTTTTGAGTCGTCATTTTTTTTATTGCTGTATTAAGGCACTTCTTTGTGTGTGGCTGTTTTCTTGATTCATATTGGATTATTATTGCTTCTTTCAACAGAGGAAGGTACACAATGCTATGCCCAGAAAGGCCGCTGGTTTTAGACTGCATTCAAGTTATTACACTCTCTCACAAAAATACCAAAGGCGGTCAGAATAAGGTGGAAAGGGGCAGGGGGGTCATATTCTTCATGAGACTGGTTTCGACAGGGCTTCTCAGCATTCCAGGCCTTGCTTTGCCTGCCTCCCTTGCTTCTTTGGAAATTTGTCTGGCAGCAAACATGCTTTGAAGGGGTCTTATCTCCAATCTAGGCAGGAGCTTCATGCACCAAGATAACAAACCCCATCTTATCTCGCTATGTTCGTTAATGTCACAGCTTAAGGGGCTTGTTCTTCCACTTGCAATGGGGCTTGCACTGCGGATTGTTTGCAGATTAGTCAACATAGGCCTCTGGAGGTCTTGGAGCACGTTCAAAATGTTTTCTTGTCCCACAGACGTTCTTGTATGCACACATTAGCGCGTTGGCTGCCTCCCGCTTTCCTGTGTCAAATGGCGGGAGTAGCAGACCAACAATGGTTGGTAGGCATCATTACGCACAGTAGGATCTACAGTAATACATATCACATCAGACAAACAAGTTGTGCAAGCCAAAACAAAAATGTGCATGATAGCCTTCCAAGGCCAACTATGTTGTTAGATGTTTTGAGGATGACTTGTTATTATTCTGCTGCTGATTAGCTCAGAGCCTTAATCAGCGATATCTTCTGAAACGTCTTTTGGAGCTTACCAACCTAGGAAAACATTCAGCCTGTAACATTTCATGTATTTTGTCTATGTGGCCAGATTCACGATCATCCCTTTGTGACACAAGAGACCAGGCAGAGCTCCATTGACTTCAGCCATCTGGCTATCACACACAACCCTTGGCTACACAGTGGCTCACTCAGCGATTGATTGGGGTGTTGAAGGCCAGCTATTTAACACATCAGAACAACAAGTACTGCTATCAAGCTGGCCCTTCTCATGCCTCGTTTCTGCGCCGCCCAAGAATGTCTCTTATCTCTTCCCTTCTGCTTGTTGGTTTAAGCCAGACAGCATATGCCCACATTCCCCCTGTAATACACCGTTGTGCTTTTGGTGCAACCCTGACAGTCAGACAGGTTGCAGCTGAGTTCTGATGGGTAATATAACCCATGTGTTGGTTGGTAAGAAGTGGGCCTTTAAAAAACACACAATCTGCTTCCATATTGCAGCCTCTGGGAGAAATAATAAAAAAAGGCATTTTCTTCCCAACATGCTCTGGTGTTGCACCAAAAGACTGACAGATGAAAATAAAGCCCTGAGTTCCATATCATTAAATCCCGCTCTCTCACATGATTACATTCTTATTAGTGTCTCCATTCTTCTCCCATTATTGTTACTTCTAGTGAAACAGGCCTGATAATGTGCACTCACTCACTCAATGCACAACCTGCTTATTCCCATCTCTGATTCTTTGTTGTCGGCGAATGGTTTTTAAATGAAAAGTGTGAGTGCGGTGTAATTATAATTCTGGGTCTATTATGAAATCAAATATCACAATGAATGTAATTTTATTTGCTTGTAATCTCTCTCATCCAGGCTAATAGGCGTTTTCAAAGGGCAAGCTCGGGGGGGTTTAAACGGCGGACCATCTCTACATAGAATGGCTGCTCTGCTCTCTTGCTCCCCGGCTCTGTTCTTTTGTCTTTGATATGCAGGCAAAGAGCTTGACAGTCTGGGAGACGTGGGAGATTTGTCGGCCTGTGATCTCCATGCCTCTCTGACAAATGAACGCCTTTGGCAGAGCTGCTGGAGGTACGGTTTCTCTGCCCTGCTGGAATCCTGATGAGACTACTCTGGAGCTGCTGGTAATGAAGTCAGGGCACAGGACCAAACTGCTGCCAGAAATGACCTTTAATCTACACACATGCAGGTCATTTGGCATGCGAGGATTCAAGATTGCACATACACCTCTGTGCTATTCCAGCTCATGCATTTTTTGTTGATATTTTAGAAAAGCAGGCCGAAACCACAGTGTACAATGTACATTATTATCAATACGTAATTCAATATACATGCTTCTTGTTACGGCGGTGGCAAATAGTTTACATTTAATATTTCCTGACAATCAGTGATGGTTGGTGTTTTATCTGTACAGTGGGGTAAATTAGGATGCAACCACCATCCAGTCAGTCTTCATTAGATTTGGACTTAACTGCTCCACCAAGCACACAATTGCTTGACATTGATTTAGCAGATTCTTTCAGTCCATGTAATTCCTCATACAGTGTATAGTAAAGATCTCTCATTTGGTGTGTCCGTGCAAAGTAAGATGTTAACAAATTATGAGCTAAAATTTTGAATCCCCCCCGAGGATAAATGCTCTCATTTCAGCGGCACAATGAGCAGGAAATAGCTGATATTGATTCTGGACGTTACAATTCCACACTGAGGAATCTCTAAACCACAATGCCCACACAGTGCAATCCAACATGGTTGCCTTTGATTTCAGCCCTGGGCTTCAAGGGGGCTGAGTAATGATTCACAGGAAGAACAAGCACTACCCCTTGTGGCTCAGTTGGCCCAGTGCAGCGTGGGTAAATGGCACCTCCAGCTGCTTCTGGGCCCCTCTTGATAAGTTAACCTTGTGATAACATGCTAATGCCTGATTAATGTTGCCGTAATTAGACACAGCTTTTCACACTCAGTTAAGAGGACATCCTCCAGCAATTAGCCCGAGCCGGAGAGAGATAATTTCAGAGAGCACAGTGGAATCACGTTCCTCAGCTCGCCTGCATTCCCACTTGGCAACATTAAGGTTTATTTTCTCATTATTTCATTTAATTACTCGTTTGATGTTTTATACAGCTGCCACAAGTAATCTTTGATCCAATTAGGAAATGCTGATTGACAGCGTGGGTGTGGGATTCAATACCCTGCATTCAATTTGCCGTTGTGACCTTATCAGAGGATCTGCAGAGGATTCTGAGTTTACCATTGACTGTCTTCTAAACATATAATAATTTCCCATAAGAATATATTCTGCATGGATGGTCTGCATGCATGTGCATCTGTAGGTATGAGTCTGAAAGAAGGCAGCATGTGTTTGTGTTCTCCTCACCAGACATCTAACAATGAGGAATGAACGCATTAGTGGGGAGAGGCCCCTGTATTCACCAGGCTCCACACTGCCCATTAATAATGCACTGCCAGGGAATAGATGGGGGTTTGCAGGGATTAGTCCTCCATTAAGGACTCACTTGCTATTTCTATTAGAGAGACATGTTGGTCTATCTTAAACTAGGAAGGATCAGCCCACTTGCAACTGGACTATAAAATCCTGTATGAAAAATGTCAGTGGTCCCACAAGCAAGCTTTGTAAGATCAGTGGGATCTACTATATATGTGGACATGGTGAATGCAGAAAGACAGAGGTTTTGTATTATTGCAACATCTCACATCACACTGTAATAAACATTTAACCTTGCAATAATTGATTTTTTTGGCCACTTGGAGGCAGAGGTTGTGAACACAACACTTTTTATGTTGATATGGTGGACTTGTTAGCAAACAGTTGCCTATTTATACATTAATACCGTTACAGAGCAACATTATCATTAATTTGGAGTCGTGTTTGTGTGCACCTGGTCATGGTAAGTCCAATATTCATTCTCTTTTAGTTCTGTTTTTGATCTTTACCGAATCATGAAGGAAATATCTGTCTAGCGGCTAAAGCTCCACTATGTTCACCAGCTAATTGCTAACTGTGTCTGTCTGCTGTTCGGTGCAGGTAGAATGACATGGGATCGGTGAGGGTGAACCAAAATAGTAAAGTTGTGGCCTGAACAGTTGAACAATGAGCAGAAACTCACTTTAAAGTTCCGTAATGCCGAAGGTAGCTGAAGATGCAGGTGGTAATCATCCATAGGTTAATCACTAACAGTCATTTGTTTTCCATTGCCATTTGATACATTACTAAAAAAATATTGATTTAAATAACTGTATGTTTATATATGAATGACTATGACGTAAAACAATATATGTAAAGATGGGTTAGAAACTAAATTGGCATTTTAAAATGATAAAACAATTTATTTTACAGGGTGTATTTATTTGTCAGTTTACAGAACAGATTTTCACAATGAAATAAGCTGTAAGATGTAGTCCCTTCACACTACACACACATAGAACATATAAACAAATGTTTAGTTCAAATAGAATACAATGAAATTAAACGGTTTACAGTTACGTCCATACAAATCCTTATATACCTGGAGAGAATTTGGTTTACCAAAACCAGCATAACACACTTTTTTTTGTCTGCAATTTGACCTTTTCCGGCCTAAAACTGTTCAAATGAAACCGTCTGAGATGTTTAGAAGGGAAATAAGTCTTTGGCAAAAGTACTTACAACTCATAGTTATCTGAAATGCTACAGGGGGCCCCAACTCCACACTGCTTTTTTGTAATAGGTCACAGCCTAAAAAGGTTGGATTCTTCTTGATGCGCTGTATTTTATAAGCAACATATATCTTATGTAAAACTACATAACTAACAACATCTGTCACATAAATATAGTGGAATAAAAAGGTGTAGTTAAGTATGATATAAGTAGCATCAAATGGAAATACTCAAGTAAAGTCCAAGGACCCCAAAATTGTACTTGCATTGGATATTGACTGTGATTTACTTGAGCTGTTACATCCCGATTGTGTACATGCTTTAAATGGTGTGTGAATACCAGTAATCTAATACAGATTCATTTTCTGGATATGACCTTATAAAGAGCTACAAATGGACTCAAATGACATCCAGGGACATTGAATGGATGGTGTGTGATAAAAGCCTGCAGTCTGCCTCGCTGTGCTAAAGCTGAAAACATTTCTCTTTCAATGCAGCTTTTGCCAGTGTTTTCTTTGCCGTGATTGTGTGTTTATTTTCATCAGACATTGATGTAATGAATATAACAACATATTTCATGATTATTTTGTTTGAGATGCATAATTAGGCAGCTAGGTGTGGTAATCACTTTAATGCACATTTATTTGGTCATTTTGTTTTACTTGATGCACATATGAGATGAAGCCAGCAGCGCAATATGGTGTTTATATGATCACTTGTTTATTAAGTAGACCAGAGGGACCCTGTTGTTTCTGAGGAGAGGCCAGCCACCAGATGCAAGCACGTATTGATTAAAAATCTTTTTCAAAACTTTCTTTTTCAAAACTTTGTTTGACACAATTTGACACGAGGAATGTAAAAATGCACATGATACGAATATAAAGTTAAAATGATATCCGTCACCACCTAAAATAAATGAATCAAAGCTGAAATGAACTTGATATTATGATTTCAGTTACATAATAAGAATGCAATATTTTAGAAGTAGAAGGAAGAACAACAACTAATGCTTTATTGACAATACCCTCAAAGGGTTACAGTTAAAACATAGCAATAAAGGGATGAGAAGTCTTTCTGTATGTTTTGATGTTAATTGGCTGCATTTTACTTATTAACATTCATCCGTATGACTATTATTAAATGGTTGTAAGTGAGACTCTTTGTCAGTGCTGAACACAGTGAAGCCCAGTGGGATGGCACCTTCCTCACTATGCTGCTCAGAAGCTGCCAGAGGGAGTCTGAACAAAATCCCCGTGAGGATGCCACCTTGTTGAAGGAGCAGCTCCAGAGGAAATAATCATCAATTTCCTCAACAGTGATGATATGACGGAGGCAGAGAAGCGTGTGCCGGATCTGGAGAGCACTTCACGGGCTGTCGGCCCCTGTGAGAAATGCTGTGGATGCAACACTCAAGCAGCAGCTTTTCTCCAGATTGCATTATCCTGTTGCTCCACAACCTGCATGTGGCTAAGGGAAGAGCAGGGCCGTCCTTCAATCAGAGGATCGGCGGTTCAATCCCCGGCTCCAGCTCTGCTAGCCGCATGTCGATGTGTCTCTGAGTGGCACCTTGAGGTGGTCTGCTATTAACCTGAAGTGAAATTATTTTGTAACTATGCACCATTTCCTCTAAAATCTCATCTGAAATTAGACAAATTAGATTGGTAGAGTAAAAATGTCAGATTTTCCGTATGGGGGGAGTCGACGATGCCCTGATTACATATACATCTGGAATTATTGAGAAAAATATTTTTATAGCACCTTACATATTCAGTTATTAGATATTTTCTCTGTTCAGATGTATGACATTTACTTTGAAATATATCTTAATTGGTACAGTAAAAATGTCTGAACATATACATCAGTCATTGTTTGGAATTATTGAGAAAATACTTTTTATAACACTTCAAACATTCAGAAATGTACCTGTTTCTCGGTACAAATGTATGACTTACTTTGAAATATCTCTTAATTAATTGGTAGAGTAACAATGTCAGATTTTCAGTCTGTGTGGAGTCAAAGATGTCCTGAACAATTATACATCAGTCATTGTATGGAAATATTGACATACAATACAATATTTTCAGAGCACCTTAAACATTTCAGAAATTAGCTATTTGAAGGTGCAATTTCAGTTCACAGTTTGTACTTCATAAAATATCTTAGGTACAATTAACAGGTTTGATTTTTGTTTGGATGTGGTCCGAAATGTCCTGAACACATAGATATCAGTAAGTCAGATATTATTAATTTCATTGTCTTTCCAGCAAACCCTCAAATCAAAGAATAAAGACACAATTTAGTTCTATTTTCCCTTTAACTCACGAGATGCAGGTAACATGTTTCATATACTTAATGTTGATATTGTTCATTTAATCTTATTTCCACAAATGCAATTTGTATACGCTTAGTTGACATCCTATTTTGGAAACCGGATGTTGTCCGACGGTAATCTTTCCCGCTTATTTGACATTTTATTTTGAAAACCGGATGTTGTCTCACGTTAACCATTCCGCTAACTTTGCAAAGTCCTTCGCTCGCTCCCGTTCTGTGCCGTTTGAATGCGTTTACCGTGAATTTCAGCATATAGGCGCACTCAAATTTAAGTGTCTGCTGGGTTGACCACGGAGATCCGAGTGTCTGCTGATTTGACCGCAGTCACTTTAATCAAACGTACTCGGTGTGTTTTGTTGTGAGGATGCCTCAGCAAAACCAAACGGCCCCTCCTCCATCAGCTGGTGACGGCATAACGTCAACCCCGAGCTTGGCAGGAAGTGAATCTTGTGTGTAGCTGGAATATGAGGAGAAGAAGCTGTTTCACACAGAGCTACTGGGACAGCGAACTACGCGTTTAATGGTAAAGTAACCGTTTTAAACACAAGACAAGCGAGACGTTATTGGCTTTTCAGGTTGTTGCTGAGTGCTCCCGATTGTTCTCTTGGATACACACACTGTGTGGGTGGCTGCTAATGTTAGCAATCGCGTTAGCTTAGTGTTATGATTGACCGAAGTTGTGTGTGTTCATGAAATCCCACAGCATGTGGATCGTGAAACATTCTGTCAAATTAATAGTTGACGATTGAAGTAACTCAACGTTTTTTTTCCAGCTTGTCAAACAGTAAAGCCAGCTGATATTCATAGCTAAACTAGTGAGCTCTGGAAACGTCTAGCTAGCTAGGTCTCGTTAGCTTGATGAAGAACTTTCGGTTTAATTAAGCCTGGTTTATTTGGCATGTTGCATATCTAGCCTAACGTTGCTAATCATGTTTTATGAATCGATGAACTTCACTTGTGGATTTGCCATGCATAAAACATTATATATCCACAGCACTGGATTTAAACACTTGTCTTAAGAGAACTTGTGGGACTTAAAAACTAAACGGTTCATTAAGTTGAAATCATATTGGTGTATTTGTGCAAACATGTATTTTTGATGAAGGCCGTAATGAAGAATGGATAGGTGAATTTACTTAAATACATTTATTTTGAAGGGTATGTCTGCTCAGATCCTGAGTGTCTTTAAACGTTTTTTTTAACCTTAATTGGAATCTGAAATTCAGAATCCATCTTACTGGCAAAAAAAAAAAGACTTAGTTTGACGTTTAAAGTAATCTTAGTTAATCAAATGTCAGGTTTTGATTTTACCAAAATGTCACACTGATGGGTATTTCACTTTCTCTATACTACCACGAGCCTAATACTCTATAAAACAGTGCCATAATTAACCCTTTCCAAACTTGTTTTCTCATCGTTTCTTGTAGAGAAGACATTTGAAGATGGACAGTTATCAAAGAGGACAGCCATGGGGAAAGCTCGTCAAAGTGGACTCCAGTGAAACGATCCTGCTTTTCAACAGGGAATGCACAGTTGGCAGGAAAAAAGGTCTGTTCATTTCTATATGTAACGTATTATGGAATGGACAATAAAGATATGTCTTCACCTTCAATTGTAGACGTTAAAACTTTTAGAATTCTTTAACCTGCTACCAAAGCTCAAGATGTGATGTCTATTAACAAAAGACAGTCCTGTCTGCAGCATAGACATCGCTGTCAGTGTCTGGAGCCCTTAAAAACCTCCCCCTTGAAAACACAAAGCCTTCTTTAGTGCACCAAACTTAGACAGCCCCTTGTGATGATAACAAAAGGGCGTCCATTGAGAACATGTGTGCAGAATATTAAGTAGTTTTTTTTTGTGTATGGGCTTTTGCTTAAGAAAAGTTGAGGCCTATATTTCCCCCCCCCCCCCCCCCTATGTCTGCTTTGTTGTTGAGAGCTTTTGGGGGTCTACTTTTTTGCAATGCAAAGCGACTAGCCTTAATTGGTTTGCATATGTCTGAGCAATAAAAGGTTTAAATAAATGTCCATGGAACACCGTTTCAGGTGAATCTCAATAGAATGAGTTTGCATTTTCATCATGTTTATTTTATTATATATATAGGCTGAAGATTTGTTTTGTTTTGAAAAAGTCAGAGAGGGAAAAAAATAGAATTAACACGAAAACATGTTATCATTTTCTCAAACCGATGCATATATTACTCTTTATGCTCCTCCCGAAAGAGGCACTAAATGGCTGAAACATTCATTAAGTAGATTCTGTCATAGAGAGCCAAAGTAATCAGTATCGTGTCTACTCTGTGTTTTCATTGTTGTGTTTTATTATTTTGCTGCCAGGATGCTATCTGTCCTTCCCAGCCAACAAACTGGTCTCAGGGGAGCACTGCAAGATTGTGCAAGATGAAAGCTCAGGGCTGGTGTGGCTTGAAGACACAAGGTACCAGAAATTAAATCAAACAAACCATGTTTCGGAAACGCACAAAACCTTTTACATTGTCCAGTGACATGTCCAATTGCATGTTTGTCTGTATGTGATGTAGCACTAATGGTACAGTGATCAACATGTCCAAACTGGTCAAGAAGCAAACTCACATGCTACAGAGCGGCGATGTCATCTACTTTGTATACAGGAAAAGTGAGCCAGAACAAAGTGAGTTCGGTTTGTTTTTTTAGCCAATGATGTTTATATGAATTTATAAGATGGAAAGACAGATAACATCTGCTCTTGTCACCCTGTAGACATTGCCTACGTTTACCACTCAATCCAAATGGAACATGCTCATTCAGAACATAGTTATGGTAAGTAGCCAGGTAATTCCCCACAGCTCTTTTGTCGAATGTCACCATTTTTATTCCACAGCACTCGGCTACTAATCCCCACCCTGTATCTGAACTTCAGACACGGAGCGGTCAGCCCACAGTCCTGCCTCTGTTCCACCTTCAGAGATGTCACTCTCTGTGGAGCCTGTAATGCTCGCAAAGGCTTCTCGTGATCCAACTCTGGAGGATCCTCAGCCCTCCACTTCCACTTCCCACTTCTGTATCGGGAGCCCTACCACTTCTGGTTCTGTGGCAGCCAAAGCCTGTCCTGCTTCTGGTAGGTTTTCTGCTAACACACTACTGAAGAGGCTTGATTATCAGCTTTCCTTCTGGAAATTAACTCCAGGAAGTGACTTCTTCCAGCCAAGAAATAGTCCGGCGCATAACTCCCCAAAAAACCCCAACATGTTGCCGTTGCACTTTGGTTTTTGTACCTTTTGGACAGAACCAAGCTAGCCTAAGCTAAGCTAACTGTCTACAGGCTGTAGCTTCATATTTAACAGACAGATAGGGGAGTGTTATCGGTATTCTGTAAATAAACCGCACAAGAATATTTCCCCAAATTACAAACTATTCCTTTAAAGGCACTATTAACAATGTAAAATAATTAACCCAGGAGTAGTTCATTTTAATTGTCTAAAGTAAGGGTGCTTGATGTTGTCTGGAAATAACATCATGATATTGCATAGTATTTGATATAATAATATAACTGTAATAACATAAGTTCAGCTTGCTGGTTACATTTATCCAGCCACGCCCTGTATTGTTTGTGTGTAATAGGAGGCGGAGTCACAGGATGTTAGAGGAGCAGACAGAGAGGCCGAGCTGTGACTCTTCTTCTAAATTAACCCCCAGATCACAGTCATTGATGTAAACAGACCTGCTGATGTTAGTCAATTGATTGCAACTGATCAATACTGAACTTTAAACTTAAACTCAGACTGTGTTGGGCCAGGTGGTGATTATTACACATCTTCAGTGAGTCTGCTCTCATCTGCTTTATACGTTTTTTTTTGTTTTTTTTTCTTCTCCTCACAACTGACTGAGCCATTTCCATCCACTTTTCCCAACCTTCAAAAACTCAGAAGGTTGATTTATAATTTGCGTGACATTGGGACGTGCTGCTCTGGCTAATTACCCGCGAAATGACGGATGTTTGATCGAACTAAGATCAGTCACCTGCGACTTGTCTCGTAGTCAATGCACTTTCTAGATGATGCAGTAAGTGTCCTTTGTTAAATTTAATTCATTTTGTCTAGCCCAAAATCACACCTTCCCGGGACCCTCACATCGGCACAGGCAAAAAAAGCTTTCACAGGGAGAGCAACAGAGGAGGGATCCCTCTGCCAGGATGGACAGAGGAGTGCAATATATGTCATGTGTACAGAATGAACAACATTACAGAGTTACAACACATATGACATAAATTATTCATATGAGTAGTAAGCAGAATAATGATAGACAAATTACGACTACTAATAATAACAGCAGCAGTGGATATAGTAGAATAACAATGATAACAAAAGCAGTGATGGTATCAGTAATAGCAATGCTACTACTACCAATAATAAAGATAGTAGCAGTGGGTGTCAGCCGGACCACGGCAGGACCAGGGTCCAGATATAACCACGATCCACGGAAACCTGTGAGGCGAGAAAGCACAAAGACTCCGGGTGAGAAAGAACGTTAGTAATGTGAATTAATGGGACATAAATATACAGAAGGAGATGAAGAAGAAGAGAGAGGAGCTCAGTGCATTCTAGGCCTATAGCAGCATATCTAGGGGCTGGACCTGAGCCAGGCCAGGTCCAGGTATAAGCGTTATCATATAGGAAAGTCTTAAGCCTACTTTTTATATGTGGTGAGTGTGTCTGCCCCCCGGACTGAAACTGGAAGTTGGTTCCACAGAAGAGGAGCTTGATAACTGAAGGCTCTGGGTCCCATCCTACTTTTTAAGACTCTAGGAACCACCCCACATTTAGGGAGCGCAGGTAATATGGTACTATAAGCTCCTTAAGATATGATGGTGCCTGACCAATTAGGGCTTTGCAGGTGAGGAGAAGGATTTTAAATTCTATTCTAGATTTTACAGGGAGCCAGTGCAGAGAAGCTAATACAGGAGTAATATGATTCTTATCTTAGTTTTAGTTGGTACACGAGCTGCAGCATTCTGCATCAACTGGAGAGATTTAAGAGACTTATTAGAGCAGCCTGATAATAAGGACTTGCAGTAATCTAGTCTAGAAGTAACAAATGCATGAACTCATTTCTCTGCATCGCTTTGAGACAGGATGTGCCTGATTTTTGAAATGTAAAAGGCAGTCCTAGAAGTCTGTTTTATCTGGGATTTAAAGGACAAATCCTGATCAATCACATCAAGCGTGTGTGTGTGTGTGTGTGTGTGTGTGTGTGTGTGTGTGTGTGTGTGTGTGTGTGTGTGTGTATAAAAAAAGCACAGAACCTCGTGGAACTCTGTGACTAACGTTGGTGTTCATCGAGTTTTCATCGTTTACATATACAGTCGATCTGATAATTAGGACTTAAACCAGTTAATGCCAATCAAATGTTCTAGTCTCTGTAACAGGATGCAATAATCAATGGTGTCGAACGCAGCACTCAGGTCTATCAAGACAAGTACAGAGAGGAGTCCTTTCTCTGATGCAATTAGAAGCTTTCGAACCAACTCCTCCACAGTAGAGCTGGTATATTAAGCTATACCCCTTGTCGAAATCTTTTCGACTAAATTCTTCCAGCGTCAAAACAAGCCGTTTGAAGTATTGACAACATTATTTGACCCAAGTCTCTCTTTTCTCCATATAATCAGACCCGGCTAAAGATGCTGCCCCAGCACAGGAAAAAGACATGGACAACATGGAGCCGGACAGCAAGAGGAGGAAAACTGATGACAGTAGGTTCTTTTATTTGGAGATTTACCTGTTGTTCCTTGATTCCTCACATTAGATTTTACGCCCTATTTTTGAGGCGACCAGTGTAAGCAGCGCTCTGACCGTTTGCCTTTGTCTGTCTGTGGTATTTTAGTGGGGAGTGTACGGTGCTAAGTTAAGCAGCGCCAAGCGAGTTGTTTGTATTTTGACTTTTCACTGATAATAGACATCTCGGAACCACATCTGTTTGTGGCGTAATCCAGCTGCCACATTGGGGATTTAACAAGAGCAAACTAAATACTGGAGCTAACGCACAGAAATGACAAATTAAGGCCTAAAATGCAAATTAGCTCTGTTAATTAAACAAATTCCCAGCCAGTAGATACAACTTAATCTGCAACATAAAATATAATTGAATATGTTTAAAGCAGGAACATCAGTTTGCCTTAATCAAATAATCTGGTTGATTCTTACAGTATCTTGTACTCTTCTTGTATCTTCACCACACAGTTGCTTTATTCTGTATGAGGAGCTTCTCCTTCAGTTCATTAAACCCCTGAAGCCGTCTGAAGGCAGCAGGACTGTTAAATATTATTCACTCATTAATCCTGTGCTTCATAACTTATACTCTTACTAAAAAATAGACTTGTGATGTGACTGGCTGAGACTGTATTTTTGAATCGGCACACTCTTAAAGTCCTTTATGCCAGCCCTTCGGCACTTTGCGCTGCTGCACAAAATAGGAGGTGCACTTGAGATGCCCACACAGTCCGTGTGCCCAAGACCTAGCACTTCACACTTGGACAAATATAATAGGGCCCTTTATGTCTTACCAGAGCTTTACTTACTTTTGTTCCAAACAAAACCTTTTTTTTCACCCTCAAGCACAGCCCGGAAGGGTTTTGTAAGCCAAACTAGACACTTGAGTCTGAATGTAGAACTGATATACCGTTGTTGTGTTTACAGGTAAAGATTATGATTTGGACTTGCCCCACACCTCCAGCACGGAAATGGTCTGTTCAACTAAGGGAGGCCTTTTGTCTAAACCACCTGTGGAAGTGACTAAGACAGACAAGATGGAGGAGAGCCTGACATGTGTTATTTGTCAAGACCTGTTGCATGACTGTGTCAGGTAAGCTTTAAAGGACCCTTCCATCTGCACAGAGATCCAAGCGTGGGAGCTTGAACCACTTTGCATACATGCAGCATGTTACCAAATGGCAATAGTTTGTTTAATTCTCTTTTTTTTGCTTTAGCTTGCAGCCCTGCATGCATGTCTTCTGTGCTGCCTGCTACTCAGGCTGGATGGAGCGCTCTTCTCTCTGCCCCACCTGCCGCTGCCCTGTGGAGAGGATTCGTAAGAACCACATCCTCAACAACCTGGTGGAGGCCTACCTCATCCAGCACCCAGGTTTGCACAGATAGAGAGCATTTTAATAGCACCTTTTAATCTTCACTCATTATTTTAGTCAAAATGCCAGCAACCTGTATTGCCTTTTCAACTGAAAAAGGTTGTAAGTGGATGTAAAAAGAGCCTTGCATAACAAGTATTTGAAAATTGTTTGTTGCTGAGGTTTTTGTTTTCCACCAAAGCTGACTTGGTAGAGATTCAAACAAGAGAGAAGGAATGGCATGTAAGCAAGACCTGCTTACCTTGTATGATTTCCAAAATGGTATAAATGAATAGAAAGTCTCAGTAGATACTGACTTTGTATTTGTGTGTGTCCCCGTCTGTCCCGCAGAAAAGTGCCGCAGCGATGAGGACCTGAAGAGCATGGACAGCCGTAACAAGATAACTCAGGACATGTTGCAGCCAAAAGTGGAGCGCTCTTTCTCAGACGAGGAGGGCAGTTCAGATTACCTCTTTGAGCTCTCTGACAATGACAGTGACTCCTCAGACATGGGGTACGGTCTGAATGTTTGTTTGTAGGAAACCAGTGTTCATTTTTGCACCTGACTTTGACGTTGTTTTACATCTGTCTAAATCATTTGATGAAAATGTATATTATTATTATCAGTCAAATTGTGTTAGTTTAGACAAAGACTAAAGACCTTTGTCTAGTTTTTGTCAGATCATTTTTAGTCTAATGTTTGCCCTTCAGAGGAGAGGCTAAAGTGTCAGATAATCTAGTGATATTTCTTGTCATTTTGTCAGAGATCTTGTTTTCAATGGTTACTTTTTGTTTTGTTAGAGGTAAATATATGGTAAAATAGGTTGTCGACAAATAATAAATAACTTCTCCATGTGATGATTTTCTTTTGTGTTTCTTGTCCCCAGCCAGCCTATGGTGATGTGCCGACAGTGTCCCGGCTACAGGAGGGAGGTCAGTCAGGTGCTGTTTGCTACAGGTTCCAACTACTGGCTCCCTTGTCTGCCGGCCCCACCGCCTATACCTCCTCCACCCAAACCAGCAACGGAGGAAGGGTCCGCAATGCCCACAGGGGAGCAGCCTTCAACATCCTCTGCCACCCCCTCAGGTGATTATGGGTGTATATTAGATGGGACGATCAGTTGCTAAAGTTAGACTTTTAACTCAATGGCAAATTGAAGGGTACAGCATTCTGTTATAATCCTAATATGTGTTCCGTAATTGGTAAAATCATCTGAAAACTCACTTTAGCACGACTAAAGATCCTCCTGCCTTCACATCTTCACGTCTTAGCTCCCATCGAAAACCTTTTTCTGCTCCTGTCCTGTCTGCAGCTCCTCCAGAGTACCGCTGCACCCCCCAGGGCTGCCATCTCGTCTGCACCTGCTGCCTGCAGCCAATGCCAGACAGACGGGCCGAGCCAAACGGCGAACAGGTTATTGCTCAGCGATGTAAGTGGTTGTTGTTGTTCGTCCCCCTGCAGAGATTTAATGTAATATGTTTGATACAATCATACTGTCATTCAGAAAGCTGCATGTAGCTCGAGTTAAATAGAAATGGACTAACTAAAATGCATAGACAATATAAGCCAGATGGACTTTTAATTTGTGTAACTTTGCCATGCATTCCCGTGTATGGGTAGGTTGTCGTACAATTATACACCTCATGCTGTATGCATCATGTGCTGTGTGTTGGCAGGTGTGCTGTGCCAGCGACCCTTCTGCCACATGTACTGGGGTTGCCAGAGGATCGGCTGTCAAGGCTGTCTGGCTCGATTCAGTGGTATGTATCTGTTTCAGCAGAACAGCCCCAGGGGATCTCCACTGTGAGACTTATTGCTGCTAGTAGGCTTCGACCAGTATGGGGTTTATTTTTGACTGATGGCAATATACGTTTTAATTGAAGGAGCTGATTCCCAAATAGTGTCCAAATGCAATATCTGTATATTGTGATGATTGTCAGCCTCAGATTATAAGCACGGTGTGTTTCCTGTATATATGTGTGAAGGAAAGAATAAATGTAGGTGCTTTTAGAACAAGCACAGTATAGCATGTACACATGTAATCACTAAATGTGCATCATATTTTAGGTATTCCACTTTAAGTGATAATAATGTAATAACAAGATAGAGTTTTAGTTTAAAAGCTTCATACACAGTTCAGCAGTGATGTAGGCCGACTCAGTGATTCATGTCCCGTGTGGAGGAAACGTACACGTTAGAAGTTGAGATCAACTTAAGAGTCCTGCTCACGGAGCTCTTGAGCTCTGTAAACACTTTCTGTTGACATTGCCGCTCAAAAGTTTCTCTACTTTCCTTTAATAATGGCGATTGAAACAGTATTATTCAGACACAAGTATATTATCTCCATGTGAAAGAGTTTTGGCCACAAAAGAAGAATGATTAAACGATTCTAACTTCCATTTAGTTGAAGTGGGAACACAGTGTTGCATGACGGGGGAGATTACTGTTGCAACTGTTGCAATCAAGCTTTTTTTTTTTTTTTGCAGGTTAATCCAAACTTTTGAAAGGATGCTCAGCTTCTCGGGTGTATTTGTACTGCTGTTTGAAGTGTTGTAGTTTGCTAAATGTTTGACAGTTCAAATCCGTTTTTTTCAGAGCTTAATCTGACGGATAAATGCCTGGATGGTGTGCTGAACAACAATAACTATGAATCGGAGATCCTCCAGGTAAGATGTTAGTTGTATTTGTTTGTATATTAGAATGCATTAAGGGGAGAGCTTACTATTTATAACATGGGTAGTTGATTCTAACTGCTGCCAAAAGTGTTTACATTCATGATACTAGTCTAAAACATTACTCTATGGATCTGTGTAAAAATAAACAAGATCTCCAGATTACAAAAATATCAACCAGCAAACCGTAGACTCCGCTTTACAACCCATGCTGCACCTATCTGTTATACATGCAATGTTAAGATGCTGCTGTTTGTGCGTTTCCATTCTTCCACCAGAACTACCTGTCTTCCAGAGGGAAGTCATGGAGAGATCTGTTCCAGGAGTCTTTGCAGGCTTTCCAGCAGGGAAACTACTATCTGTCAGGTGAGGCTTCAGATCACAACCCATGGACGTCCACACTGTCGTATAAAGAGAGAGAGAGAGAGAGAGAGAGAGTGGTGATATCCTTGACTCTGTCTCCATCAGATTGGCGAATCTCTCCAAATGCCATCGTGTGCTTCTGCTGCGGTCTGCGAGCATTCAAGGAGTTGGCCTACAAGTACAGACAGAACATCCCTTCACCTGAACTGCCAGGTCAGACAGACCAAAATCATTTTTAATGCCTTTTCAGACCTTTAGACAACTTATATACACGTTTTTTTGAGGATATGATTTTCCTAAATGTTCACGTTATATCCATTTATTTGATGTTCTTTCCTCAGCTGCTGTAACATCTCGTCCCGACTGTTACTGGGGACGCAACTGTCGTACGCAGGTGAAGGCGCATCATGCAATGTAAGTCTTTTTACATATAAAGAACCCGACGGTCTATCTGCCCTCTAGTGGTTATATGGGAGAACTGTGCTTTCAACTGACAACAATGAAACTGCATCACTGACCCCAGTGATATGCTTCCTAGTGGGAAAGATGTCTCTTAAAATGTGCAATATATTGCTCCTCTCCTGTATTCACTAGCTTACTTTGTCTTGCTTCTCTGCTCTATTTGTTAATCAGTAGCCATTCTCTCGCATGCACTACTCAAAAGTATCATCATGGTCATCACATGAAATTATGAATGTTAATATATATTAAATGTATGTATATCACTTGTTATAAGGAATGACACAGTTGTAAGATAGATTCTGAGCAGCAGTTTTATTTATTTATTTTTTGATAGACTCCTGTGCATTTACAGACATTTATTTTGAAAAGCCACACCTTATAGCATGTTCTACAAGCCAGCTTGGTGATAACATCGCCATGTTACCGCTGTGTCTTCAGGTTACTGAGTCATGAATCTAATTAAATAGTTCTGTCTATACTTTAGACAGACATGACAGAGACACTGGGGGTACATCCCATGTCTCTTAATTGTCATTTCCTCGTTTCCTCTCTCCTCGCATGGTTTCCTCCTTGCATCCCTGGTGGGAAGACGCAAGGAAAGGACCCAAGTGAGGGAAACGGAGATGCAATTAAGAGACTTGGGATGTACCCTGGGTGCCAGCCCTGTGCATGTTGTTCACTTACTTTACCACAAGAGGGAGTCCTTGTATAAACCGGGTCCTCTTGGCCCCTCATGTTTGCTGTTTGAAGACCTGTATGATAAGCTTCCTCTCATCTCTTTGGTTTTTTTACACGCAGCTCTTCATTTATGTGGTTTCTTTTCTTTCTTTTAATTTCAGGAAATTCAACCACATATGTGAGCAGACGCGTTTCAAGAGCTGAAGGAGCAGAGTGGTTTGTTTCTCCACTGAAGTGTCAAATGAAGATAACCGACCATCTCGTAGAAACGATCTTCTTAAGTTTTGTTGTGTCCATTGTAGCTAAATGCCTTCCAGATGTTATGCAATAACTTAATGCAGAAATTACAATCATTATCCATTTACAATAGTGACCAGCGTCTCACTCGACACAGGGGCTGTGTGAAATAATGCTATGCACAATAACTTTAAAGTTCAGTGTTTACGAAAGGTTTGAACTGATTTTTAGGGTGAAGAACTGTAAGAGCATTTAACACCAGCCACCACTTATATTTAGATGCATTTGTCAGTGGCTCATGCATTTGCCTAGTCTATCAGGTAACCAGCAACCAAATTTTAGAGTAGTGTGTTAAAAATACTTCCCAATATGTCCTCCAGCCTATGTGACAAAAATGTTTTCTCAGATTAAGAGCGAGTGAGGCAATCTGTATGGATTAAGGCCATTTATGTACACTTGCACACGTTGGTGAGATTCTTTTGTATTTTGTCTCCTCCAGCCTTGGCAATTGAGGCTTTAAACACCTTGTGTACATTAACCTTCTTTAATTGTGATATACTTTAACCGTTTTATGACATGTTGAGTTAAGAATTCAGGGCTTCCTACATCATGTTGAATTACAGTAATAGTGATTCTAGAGCTACAGTTTTTGGGCCAAGACACAATCAAGTTCTGAGATCCAACCTTTGGACTACATTAAATGTGAAAGTCTCACCTCTGAGGGACTTTACTTGTTTTGCCAGTGCATTACTGTGTTCCCAGACCCGGGCAAAAAGCCACGACAAAACCCTGCATACATACTAGGGTAGATTTATAATCCCATGTGATATTTGTAGAGGATTGGGAAGCGGATCAATGTGCTGTGACGCTTGTCAGAGGGCATTGGGGCCCTCTGTTGTATGCTTTCCTCTGGATAATCATCTCCAAGGTGATTAAGTTGTAGAAGGAACGCTTTCTCTGAACCTTTCAGTGAAGGCTGAGCTGTGATGAAATGCACAGTAACTCCATGTAGACCTTTGAGAGGAAGAAATAGGTTGCACTCCAGGCAACCAGTAATGGTTAAATATGCCGACGGTTGCTTTTAGTGGCCCGTAGAGTTTTCATATGCAGAACCAACAGTTTAGAGAATCGCGCCAACACAACACTATGTTCTGTAGTCATTTGTGTTTATTTTATAGATGTTCTAGCTTACCTTGCCAGAATGTTGATCAGAATGAGAACAATCTCCTATCTGAATAAACCTCTATTTGGTTGGATTGTCTCTGGTTCCTCAGGTACACATAGCTGCTGTTTTGTTGTTTTAATTGAACTATTTTTGGTGGTTAGAACATCAACAGTCGTGTTAAATCTGATGGCCTCGTATTTATGACTATCATCACCCAAGTGTCAGTAAGTCCACATCATGCAAACATGCACAGCTAGTATTGATGTCCACTGAAAAAAGAATAAAATGGACACATCAGCCTTTTGGACATTAGTTTCAAGATATTGAAATGTGAGGCTGAAGTAATAACCTTGAAAAATGTTTGTAGGATCACTATTGGTGTGTATAAACTGTTAAAAGCCGGCCTTGGCTTAGGCCGTCGGTTGTTTAGAAGAATACTAAATGTGTGATGTCTGCACATAGCTTGTCTTAGTCTTCAGAGTTTTCATCTAGCGTATGGTGTGCCGATACTCTGGTTCATTATATATGATGTGTAATCATATCAAGAGTTCCAAAATTACATGTTTATCATCAGGAAGAAAAATATAACTTTTTTTGAAAGGACATCCTTGATAGAAATTGTGCATTTTTTATTATATAGTATTTGTTTAAATTAGCCATAATAAATATGGATACAATTTGGGTTTTTTTTTTAGAATGTAGTTATTCATGTTGTCATTCAAAGTGTCTGTGGAAAAATAGGATTTTCAATGGGCACTTTTCAGGCCTCTGCAAGTTAGTTAATTGCAGTTAATTTGTGGTGTTAGCAAGGTGCTTTTAGTGTGTCTTATTTTTTTAATTTTTCTACCCCCTCTGTCATGGTGGGTCCACGCTGGCATTCCTGAGCGGCTCAGGCCCTCAGCACAAGCCCCGTCGATCCCCCGACAGAGTGGCTGGGTTTTAATTATTCCCTACCGGAGATCTAGCCACCCTAAGCCAACAACAGTCCCAAGCCGCTCCAATCAGGAATTGGTAATAAAGAGGCTTTGACGGAGTGCTTTGCAATCTCCCTGCGGTGAGGTGTGGGGAGGGCATGTTGTATACTAATATTTACTCACTTGTTGTGCAAAAGTCTGGACCAGGCTGCTCAGCAGTATGGAAGAGGCAGGTTTCATTCTACCTCATCACAACTCCAAGAAATATGGGAGACTGAACAGGCATCCGTCACACTCGCATCAGTTCAAAGCTGGGCACGCGTCTCTCAAATGTGAGGGATGGAAGTCCTTACTGATGATGCCTGTAAATTTAGTATGCAATGCACTATTTGAACAGTTAGTCTAGAGTACTTGCGTTCTAGTTAAATTGCTATAGAGAAGCACATTTAAAAATGTTGTGAGGACTTGTGTTTAAGATATATGCCTCTTTACCCTTTATGTTGTATTAGCAATGCTAAAATATTTTGCTGATTAGATTAAAAGGCTGATCTATCCATCTGTAGAAACTGACTTGCTTTTGCCAGTACCTCCACTTAAGAATGTGTCTTATTGTTACTTCTCTTGGATTTTTTAGCTTCTATGTATGTATGTCTTTAGCTTCTGTGTGTATCTCTATGTACATCTTTAGCTTCTCTATGTATGGCTTCGACACTAGAAGGCTGCTTTCATTCCCATCTCACCTTAAATCAAGTTATAGGGATACATCAGTGTTTTCAGAATAGGTTTTCACACACAAGGAATAATAATAAGTGACTACTGGGGACAGCCTTTTTGAAATTGGTCTAGTATTGAGCGAGAGACCTGCAAAACAGACTGCAATGTAATCCTCCCTGGGAATTGCGCAGCGTTAATGTACGTCCACTAAAAGTGCTAGCTTTCGCCGCTCACTGGCTCAAATTGTTCTAAGTGTCCGACAACATTATGGAAAGCACTCTACAGAGAAATGAAACGTTTTTCTTAAATCTTTCGCTGTTTGTTTAGTTTGTATTGTCTCACCAAGTCTTGCTGAAGGAAAAGTCTCTTTCTGAAATTCTCCCGAGATGGTTAGGCCTCATCCACGCTGTCAAAATCAGCTAAATATTCAGGCATGACTAAACTACGCTTTCTGTAGTCCTACCGACTCCAACACAACGAACTCAGCAAGTCACCTCTCTGGATCAAGATCATACAGATCAGTATTATAACTCACTGAAGAGCATCAAACTGTTAGATGCACTTTTTAAATCCAATTTATTTAAGAGTTGGGGCTTCTGGAGTACTCGGAGAATCATTTTTCTGTTCATGTTTGCAATCATTCATCCTTTTTTTTTTTAACTCAATACAACAGCAGTCCATAAGCAGCATAATATTCCATCCTTGTCCAAACATGAAAAAAGAAAACGGCTAGAAGACATTAGCCAACAGGAGGCTACAGTATACAGCATTGTAATCTATGTTGAAAAACATAAAAAGCCATAATATATTATGTTTTAAATAGTCATGAAAAGTCGTAGTATAGTATGTCTAAAACAAGTCATAACAAAGCCATAGTAAAGTATGTCAAAAAGATTGTAAAATGTCATGAAAAAGCCACAATAGTACGTAAAAAAACTATCATGTACAAAAAGTCATAAAAAAGCCATGAGTATTTTGAAAACAATGTTTACATAGTATGAGAAGTCAGAAAAAGACAAAAGTATAGTATGTGGAAAAAGTAGTCATGTTTTAGTATATCGAAAAAAAATCCTTGGTATATTATGACAAAAAAAGTAATGAAAAAGGCACAATATAGTATGTCTAAAAAAAGCTAGTGTGGTATTTTGCAAAATATAGTACACACAAAGTCAGTATGATGAAAAAAGTCAAAGAATATCAAGTAGGAAAGTCATAAAAATAACTTGTGTAACAGCATGTTGAAAAATCTTTAAAAAGCCAAAGTATATGTTGAAAAAGTCATAAGTAGAAAATATATTTAAAAATAAATCAAACAAACAGAAGAAAGCCGAAGAAAGATTAAAAAGGCCAGTGTATAGTATGTTGAAAAAAGTCAAAAATATTCATAGAATAGTAAGTCATAAAGAATCTATCGTATGTCATAAATTTCATAAAAAGTAAAATTAAAGCATTTCATAAAAGTCATATAGATGTTAAAGAATGCCACAAATAGTCTCACTATATGTCAAAAGTCATAGAATGTCAAAGTACAGTACTTTAAAAAAATCATAGTATAGTATGTCATTAATAAGTCATAGAGCAGTATACAATAAACATTACGTTAAAATAGTCAGTGTCAGAAAAAAGTTACAGTATAGTATGAAATCAACAAGTAATATAGAATGTCCTAAAAATACTGGATCAAAGAAACTAAGCACCCAATCCTGACTCTGTTTGAGGAACCTTTGACTGATGTGCAACATCTTCCATCAGATTAAGGACGCATGTGAATGACATAGCCTTTATTAAAACTTAACATTAATTCATAACTCATTTGAAATACTCTTGTGATTGCTAGTTCTCTCTTTATACTACAGACTAGTGAATATTAGTACACTATATGCTTTTACTTTATTTACTATACTATTACTATATTTTGATTTCCCTTTGATAATCCAGTATCAGCCTTAGGAGTACATACGGTATGAAAACACTGTTGCAACATTAATATCAACGTACGGTCTATGCTCTGCAGTACACTTTTGGGTAATAAGTATAAGCATTTGTTAGCTTGCGATAAAAGAAATAATCCATATGAGGAACCACATTAAGGAAAAAGCCGAACGCTGACACACAGCAGCTGTTGAAAGCAAAGTGCAATGCGTGGAGTATTATAACTCACTGAAGAGCATCAATCTGGTTATAAAGTGCTCCTAAGAGTTGAGGGTTCTGGAGTACTCGCACAGAAAATACTTTTTTGTTCATGCCTGCAATCAGTCATCTTTTCTTTTTTAAACACATAATACCACAGCACCCATTGCCATGGCACAGTAAGCAGCATAATATTCCATCTTTGTCCAAACAACTTTAAAAAAAAAAAAAGAAAAGCAACTAGAGTGAGAAGACTATTTGCCAGCAGGAGGCTACAGAATATGTGGTAATCATTTCGTAAAAGTTGATTTCAGAAATTAAAAGACGTAGGTTATATATGTTACACAAAGTGGTTCAGAAATGGAAAACTGGCCCACTAGAGTCCCTGCTCTTGTCAACAACTTAAAGCCTGTCTGGTCACATCTGGTTGGTCACACTGTGCAGCACTGTGGACTGACTGAGAGACGGCTTGCTGTCATAGACTGTGTTTGACTCGGTCGTGGTGGCGAGCGTGTTGGAAGAGAGTGGACCAACCCCTCCTGAGACCTGGCTCCCCCATGGCCTCCACTCTGGTCTGGCCCGCTGGCTCTGTGGGCTGAAGCTAGTGTTTCCAATGACAGGCTCCTTCCCCTCGTATTTCCCCTTGACCAATCCGTTCATCACGACAGACGCAGAGATCTGGTCCAGGTGCTCAGCTGAGACAAGAGGCTGCCGGTCCTCCTCCTCAGAGATGGCAAACACAGGCACGCTGATGTGGTCACTCTCACCTGGGAACTCACGCCTCTTTCCTGCCTGGCTGCTCTCAATCTGACACTGGCTGGAGGGAGAAGATCCAGAGCTGGGTTCTGTATTCGAGCCCTGGGTATGAGGAACCCCGGAGGCTTTATTTGGGTCTGTCGTCCCGGAAAGCAGACCGAAGCAAGGCCCCGTGAAGCGGGAGCGTCGCAGGTTGCTGGTGGAGTTGAGACGCCGTTGCCTCTGGGCAGGCTGCGAAAGGGGGTAGGAGGCATTGCTGATGGACGAGTCAGAGATAGTACTGTTGTCTGCATCAGCGCCCAGGTGAACATCCGAGAAGACAATCCTGCCGAGCTCTCCTCTGCAGTCAGCTACCAAACTGGGAGGAGCCTGGAATGATATAACATGAGATTCAGAAATTTAGACTTTAGAAAAAGCACAGGCGTAATAATAATAACACTAAAGATGGTTTCTACATCCACCTCAGTAATATGTGTAAAATAAAAAAAGTGTCTTTCCAGAGACCATGTCCTGCTTACTCTAGATAATGTTGACAGCCTGATTTCAGTAGTACCACATGAAGTTAGTGAGAAATATTCCTACTTTTGGTGAACTGAACTTTAAGTCAAGTTAGAATACCTGATTAAGACAACTCTAGAGACAAGACAGACAAATGAAATTTAAACTAATTAACTGAATATAGCACTGACCACTCATCAACCTCACATGTCATAAATGGTTCTGGGTGTGAAAACAATCAAAAGGTTCTAGTACTGACGCTGTCCACCAGCTTGGTGAAGGGACTGTTGGAGTTCCAGCTGCACCACTTCTTGTGCAGCTGCGGTAGTGGAGGGAGGAAGTCCTGGAAGGTGCGTACGCTCCACGCTCTCGGTCTGGCACAGCCAACGCTGCCGTCCTTGGAAGACCTGGTATCAGTAGGTGAGGTGGTGGAGTCTGGTGAGGGCCAATCACCTGCAGAGCTGGGACCGGTGTCACTGTGACGCAGGAACCTCTCCCTCTGCTAAGACAGATTGAATAAATGTATAAACTAAACGGAGTAGTCTGGGTCAACTGCTCAGTGTCCAGGAGCATATTTGTGCCATTATATACGAAGCCACTTTAAGGTATTTTTAATGAAAGGCTATACTATGACATTTTATGATCTTTTTATGATATACCGTGACTTTT